CACTCCTTTACTTCTGTATTTACGTCGAGGTGTAGCGAGCTCGAGGTACAGTAAACGTGAATTTCTGCATTCTTTTTCTTTAATTGCTCTAAAATTGGAAAATATGCGATCTTTTAGGGAAATTTAATTATTAGGGCGCAACTAATAAGGGAACATTCTGGAATTATAATTATTTATATTGATAAATTATATTACAGTTTAGTGTATGATAGTATTGAAAAAGATATTTGACAGGTATCTTCTTTATCGATAATAAAATATCGACAGTAGAGTGTATTTGAAGATAAATTCATTAGTAATAGAGACTATTTAAATTTCAAATTTCTGAAACTGCCCCAAAAATTTAAAGAAACGCGATTTTCGTTGTGACGATTTTAATTATTACGGAAAATCGCCAATTGATAATCACTGTTATCGATGAAATTTTCATACCTATATGATAGTAAAATATTCGACGCTTATTTCTTTACCAGCAATAAAAACTCGAGAGTACCATAGTTATGAAACTTAAGATACATTTGAAGATAATATAATTAGTAATAGAAACTATTTAACACAAAAGTTACCTCAAACTAAAAAATAAAATTGAATAACGTTAAATTCACTTTACACAGTTCACATTATACTCTGTTCAAAATAAGAGTAACCTCGCTTCGCGCATGGGAGGTGCCTAAGACAGGGCTAGAACCACTAGAACGTCCAAACCCCCCACTTAACCGCCTACGTTTTTCTCCGTCTTACCCTCTGCTGCGCCCTCTGTCTATGCGCAGAACGGACGAGAATCGGTCCGAGAGCGAGGTTACTCTTATTTAGAACGACGTATACGATTTTACACCTCGCTACAATCTGTAAAAAAAAAAACTCCATTTCTGGATTTCCTTCTTCATCAATGATTCTTGATCAACGATTAAATAACGTCGAAAAATATTCCTACATTTTACATAACTATTGGAAATGCAAGTAGATCGGTTGGACAATCAATTACGTTTATTTCCCATTTATTTTTTTTTTGCACCTGACTGTATCCTACCAAGGAAAAGATAACGAGAAACTTGTTCGACTGTGGCACAAGGTATCTCACGTTTTCGTGAGATTCAATGACACGTTTTATCAAGATGTTTGCATACGATATATATCATGTTTGTCCAGTGAAGAAAAAAAAAACGAACAACGTATCACAGTCACGGCAGCATCGAGCGTTTGTTCTCGCTGACCTCGAGAACGGTAACAGATTTTCGAGCGATAGCAATTACCGGTCATGAGGGATGTCGTGTTACCTGTCGTGGGACAAGGCACACTAGCTGGTTAGTGGACTTGCGGTGACAAGTCTGTACACGGTGCACACAATTCACGATTACGTGATACCTTACCTTTGCGTATCAGCGATACAGAAAATTACGTTCTCAGTGCTGTACTACTTTATTGCCCTGTCGCTGAAGTGTTCGCGTCTCGACTTATCAAATTGTAGTATGTCACACAAATTGCGGGGAAATTTTTTCGGGGGTTTGTAAATACATATATGTCGCAGTAAATCGAAAAATGTCTGCTTTTTTTTCGTGGTGAAAAATGATACAGAGATTGCCCCTTTATATAATTGTAACACATATTAAATCATAACATAGGAAATAAAGGATTTTTGTATCGAGTCAAGCCATTTAAAAAATGAAGAAATAAAAATATATATATCATGGATGTACTGGTGAAAGATACCACGTTAAAAAGTGTCTGTTTTTGTTTTATGGTGAAAAATGATATAGAGATTGCCCCTTTATATCCCATTAAGTCACTACATAAGAAATAAAAAATTTTTGGAATAAAGTTAAGTCATTTAAAAAATGAAGAAATAAAAATATACATATCATGGATGTACTGATGAAAGATACCAAGTTAAAAAGTGTCTGTTTTTGTTTTATGGTGAAAAATGATATAGAGATTGCCCCTTTACATAGTTGTAATACACATTAAGTCACTATGTAAGAAACACAAAATTTTTTGGAATTAAGTTAAGTCGTTTATTCTTGATCTGTGTCGTGTAAAATATAGTTGAACAAAAATTTCAACCCTTTTGGGACTGTTGATTCCACGTGAGAACATATTGGTATTTAGGTACTTGCTTAAATCAATTCAGAAAAATATAAATGTTTATTTTAGCGTCGATAGCTGAGAATAAGGAAAATACAATTTTTGGGTAAAAAGCAAAGGTTGGTTCCAAGTGGACTAAACTCAGTTCCTGAAAAAATGTACATATTGTCTCAAAGCCATGATTCAATTTTCGACTTAAAGTGTTACGAATTACCATTTGTTCGAAATTAGTAAAAATATCGACGAATTGTATTTTAAACAAAACTTTTTCTCACGAAATATTCTTTAATTGCATAAAACAACAGGAAGCGTTCTCCCTGAATGATAATTTTCCAAACTGTTTACGTATTTAAAGTTTTGAAAATAGGTATCTGTACGTTTCGTATAGAAAACTTTAGAAAATTTGTTTTAAAAGATGCTATCAATATTTTTCAATAGTTTCAGAGAAAAAGATTGTGATAATAGCTAAAGTACATTTTGTATTAATCGATAATAGCACCGATAAAATACCATTCTCATAAAAGAAGAGCATTAAGACGAAGCGTTAACAGGTATTGCAAATTTTTTACACAGACATCCACTTAAAAAGCGGTATAATTCCCGATCACGATTCAGAAGCATTCGAACGATAAATATTCCGCGATAATAACAGGTATCCGCGATAATTGAAGTGGAATCTCAATTACATTTTGCTTTGTTTTACGCATTCTCTAACAGAAATTACCAGACAATTTCATACTTTTTAACCTGCTTTCTACCGTTAGAAAACACGGTGATCGTTTGGAAATAAACATCATTGAATAATTGCTACATTCTCGTCTGACGTCGAATTACAATCAACCATCTGAAAGAAAAGAAAAAAAGAAGAGGGGGAAATAAATTACAGTCTCGAAATAATGAGAAACAACGATTAAACAGATTGCACAAAAAAACAAAAGGAGGTAAAAAATTGTTAGAGGAATGAATAATCGTATGTACTAAATCAAGTTTAGAAGGAAACACGGAGGTCTCGTTGCGCGGACGATTTTACGATTAATTTCACCGCGCAGGATGAAAGTTCGTGACTCCGAGGCGAGCTCGTAGAAACGTGCGAACCTTGCCTCGGCACAACGTTGGACGTGGCTCGATAAAATCTTCCCGTATCTGTGTCTCTTATTTCCGCTACGCGAAGGTCGACAAAGATCTTGACATCGAAACGAGCTAATTTTATTATTACACTTCCAGTTTTAGACGGCCAGCCGTGAAACGTATCCGCGTATCGGTACTCGCATCTTTTAATTGTTCGAATTCTTTAATGATAGAGGAACCGAGGAAGACGAGGGTACATGGAGCTCGTTAAAATTTAACGAACGATTAATGAGCGTTTATTTGAAATTATTAAAATTGCCGAAATTATGTTTTCTGATTTTAAGGTTTAATGTAAAGTTTAGTAAAGAATGATTGATAAACATTTATTTGAAATTATTAAAATTGTTGAAATTGCGTTTTTTGGGTTTAAGGTTGTAGGATTTTAACACAAAACGTTATCTAAATACTTGCATTGAAATACAATATTCCGTTACACACATGTAGGTCTTCGACGGATATGTAAGGAACGTGGTCGGGGTAAAATACACCCACACAATTACTCTGTGAAGTCTTTTTATTTTTGCCTGCTGGCTCGAGAGGTCAGAGAATGACTGACTGCCTCCCCAGCTTTTTCCTGTTCCACTCTTCACTACTTTTCCTAATTGGTTAATACCGATGCATCGGGTTAACCAATCAGGAATTTCGTTACTTAGCCTACGCTTGCCCCTTGCGCCCTTTTTCCAGGACAGCGAGGCTTTCTAGTGGGGGGGCGAGTTCGCCGTCGGAGACTTGGCAACTCAGCGAAATTTTCTCTAGGTTCGGTACCTATGATATGTACATGTTCGGCCTCGTGGCCCTGTACGGCAAACCTTTCGGAAATCTTAGTTTTATGACGGGGCAATTTACTATTGAGACCGTCGGTGAAAGTTTTTACGAAAAACATGCTTTGTAATATTTAAGAAAAGTTAAACAGCTAAAAACGGTTTCCTCAAAAATAGTTTTTGCTAGCGCGCCCGTCATAAACTGGCGCCATCTGTGCGCCAAGTGTGGCCTGTAGCTGACCGCTACAAGGTTTACTGTAAAATTGAACGAAGAATGATTGAGAAGAGTTTATTTGAAATTGTGTTTTCTGGTTGTGAGAGGTTTAATGTTCATTCTTCTTTTGCAATTGATATTTGGAATATTCGTCTTTTACGACCAGTATATTTTTTTTCTAAGGTTATTGTACGCAGTATTTCTTTTGAAATATGTAATCTTCTGGTTTTCGACAATTTAAAAAACAGACGATTTTTGGATTCAATTTTATTTCAGATTTTTTGGTTACTTAGTGAATATTGGTCTTTAAGGTTCTTTAAAGCTTGACGTAACATTTTTTAAACTCTGTGTACTTTTCACATGTGATAATTTTGTTTTTTAATTTTGATGCGGTTGAATTAATGAATTAAAGTTTCTCGAAATTTTTGCAGTAGAGATCCTTTGCTCTAAAAAATTGTTGGAGTATCCAAAAAATAAATTTTGTATCTTAACTTAATTTGCTTAACTTTCTTTGAAAACGTGCATAAGACTTTCAAAAATTTCCAGGAAAATTGACAAAAATTAAGAAAATTACCAATGTAAAGTTTGAAAATAATTCTTGGAAAGGACTATAAAAATAATTCTCAGAAAAAAGTATAAAAATTTCTTCGAATAACGAAGTGAAATATTAATTAATGTGTAAAATGGTAGACTTAATGCGTTGGCACAGTGTTAACCTAAAAGTTTACTCAGAAAACTGCACACATTATCAAAGGAACAATGCAACACTATGAGAAATTTAAATATTCTCACAACATAAAAAAAACAATCGAAAAATGATCGACACCTGTTGCCACAATAATGTGGTAAATAGAAGCGTGTTGCAATTGAATTCCCAGCAAACTAATAATTTTCCATACAATTTATTCATCCTGTATTTCAAATTTCGTATTGCAATATTTTTTTTTCATTCTTCGCCTTTTAATAACACACCCATCCGACACACAAGCATATAACTAGGAAATCTCGAAATTTCATGAATGAACCTTTTTTTTTTTTTTTAATTAATTCGACAACTTTCACTGTTGATGATTTACGAACGTTTCTATATCATCCTCTTGCAAATCATCTCTTATTTTGAATACGAGAATTTTGAAATACCGTGACACAACCTGCTTTCATAAGGGCTTGGAACGTGTTTTACACTCTTCTTTTCTACGCATAAACGTCTAAAATTTCTACGCAACGAGATTAATTCATAGAAACGTTGAAGTTAGACGAATCTTTATTTCTATCGCTGTTTATTATCGATTTCTAACAATGGAACTTTCTTTCAGTCGATGATCGTTTTGACATTTATCCATAGATGAGTAATGCTTTGAATAGCCAATGAATGGCCATCGAGATTCGAGTTGAGAGCTCATCGTTATTCGCTGAAATAGAGATATCAAAGAAGACTATAATAAATATTCGTATTAAATGATCGTGATTATTTGCTATCGATTTTATTTTGCATTTCGCTCTGTTTGTAATTCAATTTGCATTTGTGGATTGTTGTTGCAATATTAAGAATTAGATTCAGTGGAAAAAGTAGCTTTTACTTTTTTTAAAAATAGTTTTTAAAGTAGTTTTTATTTTTATTCTTTTTTAAGAGTCTGTTGATAGTTCATTATACCATCCTTAAACATGTTTATTCAATTTCTCGCGTGTTTATAGACATACTTTTTTAATAATTATGTAAAACATGCAGAAAGTTTCACGGGACAGCGATACTAAAAGAGAAGAAAAAAAGAGAAAATTGCTTGTCAGTTGCAAAACGTTTAGGGTGTTTAACAAGATTTATGCATGCACGTCGCGTAAATTTATGAACTGATGCTCTTCAATCAATTAATTACAGCCGGAAACTGGCATAATAAATTTCCACCTTTTCGATCGTGTTTATCTATATGTATGTATGCGTAGTAACTTTCAGATCCTTTCCATTTCGAATCTCGAATTCATAATGAATTCAAAGTTAGTGGAATTTTGGAATAAGGGCCGAGACTTCTCGGGAATTTTTGTAATAATTTTTAAATTTCTATCTAAATTATTTTTACGTTTGAAATATAGAACACTTCAAATATGTATATTACGGAATATTTTACGTTGAATAATTTATGCAAACAAAAATATTTTATATTCCAACTCTTCCAAAAATATTTTATATCCCAATTCTTCCAATTCTCAAGACACGAAATATACTATTTTCTGCAAATTACATTGCACTCATTATTCGTCATATCAAAAAATTTCCACTTCAAAAATTAGCCAAAAAAAAAAATTAAGTTTCTCATTTTACATTTTTTTTCAACTGGAAAATATCGATGTGATTTTTTAGGTAACGCTAGTGCTTCTATTGGCGACCGTGTCGGTCACGCTGACGAGATCTCAAGTGCCAGAGATCTCTGGCACAGGTTTGGATGCCACCCAAGCCCCGATAAAACTGGACAAAAATCTTCGTCGAGCTTTATTGAAAGCTCTAACCGACTTGGAGACAGAATCCGCGGAGCAGCACAAAGAACAACCGGAGAATATCGCTCAGAGAGACACAACAGCCTACGAAGCAGTGCTACATGACAATCCGAGCAAAGATGTGAACCTTCAAAAGGCTGCGTTCTCGTTCAAGAGTTTCCCAGGCGACGAGGACACACCTAGCGAGGACAAACTACAAAACTCGAGCTTCGTCGAAGCTGTTCGATACGTAACCCTGAAGGCGCCAGCGATGAACATCGAGAAAGCCTCGCAGGACGACGCCAGAAGCTTTCACGTTCAGAACGTGATACTACCGGAGAAAAATCAGGCGATCTTCGGTGCCAAAACTGAGGCCAATTTGCAGCAGAAAGAGAAGATCGCTCAGGCGTCTGTGAACACGTTCGCCGTGGACAAAGTGGAGAGCCTGACGTTGAAGCCAGCAACGCTGATCTCAGAGAGCCTCGCGAGAAGTAGCAGCAATGGAATTACAGCAGTGAATCCAATAGTTTCTCAGAAGCCGATCGAAGGACCTACTCCAACTTCGCCCAGCAATAACTTGACAGTAACACCTTCTAGCGATGCAAAAGACAAAACCGAGGAGGTTAAAATCTTCCAGGCACCTCTGGTTGCTGCGTTCACCGTCCAGCAAGATGAACAAGGCATACCCAAAAGCGTGGTACCAATCTTCAGATCGCCCAACGATGGACAAGCCTTGACTCTTCAGGAGCAGTTAGAATTTAAACAGCAGCTCTTGGAGAAGCAACTAGCAGAGCTTCAGCAACAACAGCTTCATCAAACGCAATTCCTAGCCAGGCAGCAGCAACTGTATGAACAGCAGATCAGACAGAAGCAATATCAACAGTATTACCTGCAGGAACAAGCTAGAATCAAACAGTTAGAGGAACAAGCCAAACTTAAGAGGTTGGAGGAGCAAAGGATCAAGCAATTAGAGGAGCAACGTTTCAAATACGAAGAACAGAGGCTGAATCGTTTCCAACCTCAACGTCCTCCTCCGCAGAAGCAATTCTTCTTCGAGCAGAGCAACAGCCTCCTGTCGTTCCAACCACCTGTTGATTCGAATGTCCATCTACAGCCTAGCTTGGCACTGGAAGTGCCCAACGTTGCTGGACCACCTCCTTTCCAGCCGATCTTCCAGCAGGATCCGCCACGCCTGCAGCCATTCCGTCAGCAGCAACAGCTGCCTCAGCATCAGCTTTCTCAGCAACAGCTTCAACCGCTAACTCAGCAACAGTTGCAGCAGCTGCAGCAACCACAACAGCATCAGCAGTTGCAGCAACCACAGCAGCATCAGCAATTGCAGCAACCGCAGCAGCATCAGCAGAAACTGCAACAGAGCTTCAGCTCGTTCTCCAATGATTTCCAGCCTTCTATATCTCCCACGGGGAGATTCAATCGACAGGAAGCCTTCAATGCTATTGGAAACTTTGGATTTAACGAAGACAACAAGGTTACACCTAGTAGAAACAACTTCGGTTTCAACGTACAGCAAAGAACACCTGCGAATTACTACCATCCGTTCACGCAGTACAGACAAACGAAGCCTCCGACACCGGCGAAACAGATCCAACATCTTCTGTATCAATCTGGAATCGCTGGTGATTTGAGCAACGTGCAGGGTATCGGTAACAACGAGGATCTGAATATTGTCTCCAAAGTGTTGGCCCTGAACGTGGGCGCCGTGTCGAACAAGAATAATCTGCAATTCATGACGAATCCAGCTGCTTCATCGTTCGGGAATACGTCCGCGTGAAGTATGGAAACGGATGCTGGGGCTAGACGAGTCATGTACAGTCGCTGCAGGACGATATTAGCAAGGTGAAATCGAGCTCTCACTTTTTCCCTTCTTGATCCTCCTCAATCACCTTCCTCGTTTCGGAACCGGTGCGCTTCGCACGAAATATTTCTCTGGGGTGTGGTGGAGAAGCCCATTTTGTTTCATGCGTTCATCCACGCCGTGTGAATAGCCTGACACTCGGAAATCTACTTTTGGCTCAAATGAAAAGAGAAATTGCATCTTCTGCTTAGAATTTGACAGTGTAGAAGAAAATTTTATGTACTTATACTGTGTGAATAATTTGATACTCAGAGGCTTACTTTTGGCTTAAATGAAATGAAAGAAATTACAATCTTTTGCTTAGAATTTGATAGTGCAGAAGAAGATTGTAAGTACTTATAAGCTTTTAAGCACTGTTCTTTTGATATATTGTTGAAATTTGATTCTGGTCTGTATTTAGTTTGATCATCAGCTTAGATTGCACTTCAGGTTTCACATTTTATCTATGTGCTTTTTTCCTGAGTATCTCTTTCACTTAATTCTTCGTTTAAATTGCAAATCCAAGTTTCAGCGTACATGTATCAGCTGCAATCAGGAGATAAGAACACCGTGAGGAAACTTTCTCAATGCATGCATACCAGATAGACTGTCAAAGTTTCATTAACTCGCAATCGCGTCTCAGTTACCACGGACTTTCAACATTTTTCGTCATTCTAATCCAAACATACATGTAATTCATATTTTACAAATTTCTTTGCCATTCACAGCTAATTCATTGTCAAACAGAAAGGATTAACCTGTTAACTGTGTAAGATGAGTTAACTTATGAGCCAAAACGTGGAACAAAATAATTTATTTACTGAGAAATTGTTCATTTTTAATTATACTATTATGCCTCTATTGAGCACAGTCATATTTGCAAGAAGAAAAAGCAAGTGATTGGTTATAATTCTTACATTTTGTTAATTATAAACTAGAAAGATCAAATTTCTGAACACAGTTAACAGGTTAATTAACATTAATTTTCCAATACCAGTTCACCTAATCATTCAAGAAGAAAAGAAAAACCGTAAAAGGTTGTCTGTTCAATCAGACAGAAGATTCGGTCAATGGAATGCGTCGGATGTATTGTAATCAACTAGCACGAGTGTAATCTCAGACAATTCTAAGTGAAATCGAACCGAAACGTTCGCATAACAACCGTGCAATGTACGCGTTCCAACGTGCGTGGGATCGCAATGATTCCCGAAGAAAAACGCGACTTTCCAACGCGTCCTCACTCGTAATAAGGAAGTCCTTAAAAGATCATAATGATATTAATTAGAATCGAGAACATTTTAAACCTACAATTCACCGTTTGCACCAGACACGCTCGCATTACATAAGCCTAAATCCGCGTTGCAACACGCAGATATTCTGTACATAATCGCACGATCCTTTTGCTTCCTATCTTCGATATTTCGCTTCTTTATTTTTTTCTTCTTCCTCTTCTTCTTCTTTCCTTTCCTTTCCTCTTTCCTACGTTTTCTGTTATTATACTACCAGGTTTCATCACGGTGTCCATATGAAACATGCTCAATCATAGAGATCCGAATACCGTGAAATTACTTTTGTAGTCCGTGGACCGGTTTCTATGTACGCCGACTTTAGTCAACGGAATTTAGCAGGGAGATATTATAAGCGGATTTCACGGTCTTCTTAAATCGTAATGGTAATTATTATAACTGTAAGACGTGCAGGAAAAGGGAGGTCGAGTGATCTGGAAAACATTATACAGGTTTAACGAGTACGATAGTTCAGTTAGGATTGATGGAAAATAAATGACAGATTGAAATTTAACATTGTCGTTCGTAAGTATTTTAGGGCACTCTTTTACGTTCGTATGAAAAATATTAAATTACATTTCTTTGCAAAGTTAGTATTATTGTGTTAGTAAAAATATACGTACTTGTTATAATATGAGATTTCAGAGTGAATCATTGTTTTAGGATTTTAATAATTTTCTAACGACTGTTTAGGTTTGCTTCATGTTCAGTAAGTGTTCTAATATTTATGAACGAGAGTGTATTTGGATAAATTATGTTGCTATGTCAAGAGTAGTTTTTGGTAGAATATTATTTTTAAATGAATTTTAATATACAGCTTTTTTAAGGCTTAATGTGAGAATCGTTAAGTACGTGAGAAGTAAGAAATTTAACTTGATTAATGTCTTTTAAGAAAACTACAGTTTATTTACCATCAACCTAATATAATCAACAAAAATGTGTAACAGTCAAAATTCTTGACAAAATGCAACCATATTTCTGAGATCTTTCCTCAAATACGCTCGCATCACTATTTTTTTGAACTTTCTGAAGATGTAACTATTGCAAATAATCCAAAATATTTTCTTAAACACTTCTAATTGTTGGCAAAAGAATTTATTTTACAAAACAAATTTATTTACTTTACGAACATAACCTAATCAGAGCCCAAGCTACATATTTGTCGTCCACGTCATAACTTTTCCCTAAAACTCGAGTAAATTTGAGAAAGAACTAACCTAAAATATTACGTTAAGATCGACCGTTTTCTACGACAGTCGGTATAAGATATTTCTGCAACAACGAACAACCATCTCACACACGGTAAATCTCGGCCAGATTTTGATCGTCGACTATTAATTATTTATCTAGATGTACTAGGTTTAGAGGAGCTAGATACGGGACGTTGGAGGAATTCAACTCTTCTGAGATCAAGGGTCTCGCAAAATCGTGCATCCGGCCGCGCTTTGGGATTGAAAATACCTCGTCGACTGTAAATAAACTTTCGCCACGAGAGACACGTTTGGCATAGATTCGTGATTTCTCTCCGACCACTGGATCGATAGATCTCCTGTCTTGGGGGTTGGCGAATGGTGAATCGATATTCACAAAATGACGAGTTAATTGGTTCCCACTTTTCACCGGTACGCTGAATTAGTGGTGTTTCACGTTGGTTATAATTTTCACGTCGTGCTGTTAAGTTATTACTTATTAACGAAACGTCTTTTATGATTATTTCAATTTTCGCAAAAGTGCGCGTTATTTCTCTTGGTTTCTTTCTTCTTGTTTCTTTTGTTCAACGAATTTTTTTGTTAAATTGTTACTTGAGCGAATTATTGTTATAATGTAGTATAATTAGTACGTTGTAATCTACTAATACATATTACTGTTTTAGTTGTATTACTATATTTAATATATTTCAAATTTATTTTATACTACGCGTAATACCTAATTATTTGTTGTATAATTAATATATGCTCATATGACTATTTAATTGAAAAAATTTATTGTCAGTGTTGAAAATGAAATTTAAGTAGTTGCTGTAATGTACGAAATAATCATTTTCTCTCGGTTAAATTTTTATTCGCGTATAAAATTTCGAGGATTATTCATGTGGATTAAAATAAATGCGAAACGTGTGTTGGATGCACTGTATGCGAGAAGAAAGAAGCAAAATTTGCATACAATAAAAGCACGTAAGCGTGCAAGTCGTTTCTAAATGTGTGTCAAGACTTGAATTTATGTTACAAATTAATATAACATTAGGATACGTAGGTAATACGTTAGATATAATCGACAAGTTTTGCTTGTAATTTATCAGACGCCAAAATGTATGAACTTCTGTAAAAATGTTAATAAACTAATTCGTTAAAAAAAAAATAATACGTCGTTCATATTTTTGTAAATATTCGACCTACATCTACAGCTTTCACAAATGATATATCTTTTAATAAATCATTTTTATTTGCAATAGCAAATTGTATAATTATGTAACCTTATAATCTGAACTTAGTTATATCCTCTACATGTATTATTCGCTCTACAATAATTTAGAGTCCAAACTTAAACAATGTAAAAGAATAATATTCAATTTCACACCTGTTACGGAAGTGTGAAGTAGGTACAATGTCACTACGCCATCTATGATAAACCGTAACAAAACAAGTATGGCGGAAAACAAGATAGGCTCGTTAGAAGAGGAAGCTTTAAAAAGAAAGGAACGTCTGCAAGCATTAAAGAGGAAGAGTGAGGATGGCAAGGAAAACAAAAGTGAAATTGCTAGTAAATTACCAAAGTGAGTTTTTAGGTCTTACCAAAGTGTTTCCGAATCTAACCTCACCTAGCCTCCAAAGTTCGACACTTATCGTGTTTATTTACTTGATCATGCCAGACCAAAGTTTCGAAGTTACAAACCACAGGATGAAAGTTTGAAGGATAAGGTATTAGATAGTGCAAAACCAGGAAACGTAGAAGCGGAAGTACAGGATCAATTAAGCGCTGCGAATACGAAAGTTGTTATTGAGGAACTTGTAAGTGACAGTTATAGGTCAAAATATTTGTTGTCATGTGACGTTTATTTAATTATAATTCTTTAGGATATTAGCAATCTCGCTCCTAGGAAACCTGATTGGGATTTGAAGCGAGATGTTGCTAAGAAATTAGAAAAATTGGAAAGGAGAACTCAAAAAGCAATAGCAGAACTAATAAGAGATCGTCTCAAACAAGGGCAACATGATTTAGCTGCTGTTGTGAATATGGCAACTAAAGATCAAACAAATTCACCTACCTGATATTCTCAATAATTTTTATATATTTTTATATTGTGAAATTTAAATAGTTTTGAAACAATAACAATAACAGTTGAAAACAATAACTTGTATTGGTAATAATTACATTTATTATTATCTAAATCACAAGCTTCTTCAATACAGTATACTTTATATATATAAGAATAGATTTTAAGTGTACATATATACAATATTTAAGATATTTCTAGAATTAAAAGTTGCTAGTCCACATGTAATCAAAAATAATAAAAATATATATTTTCACTCTTATCTAGCATAAATGTCCTAGATAATAAAATCTTTGAGTATAGATGTTTCAAAGAATATAAATAATACCTCTTTCATAAGAAAATGTATTATATAAATACTTATTTAAGGGTTATTGGTTACTTTGGATTATGTGTACAGTCAAAGTAATTGACTAGAGCTTCCAGTGAATTACTGATACGATAAAAGACAGATGATTCCAAGTATCACTGCAAATGCTGCAACAAAAATAAAAAAGAATAATTAATGAATAAATATTTGCTATACTGTGTAATGTGTTTCACTAAGATTTACAACACTTTTTAAACTTTGTAAATTTTTCTATTTTCAATTATTTCCAGGTATAATATTTTACAGTATTATACACATACTGTAGAATATTAGTAATTCTCAGTCAATGAAAACACAATATAATAAATAAAAAAAAGATACGAACGAGATACTGTCCACATGCTTTGTTGTCCAGAATGTTGATCGCTTTTTTGACCGTTCAAAGGGGTTACTGTTGGCGTTTCAGTACTCGTACTCTTAGTTGATGGAATAGCCGCTTCTGGATCCTTGGCCACTTTTGTCGTGGGAGGATGTGTTGCAGCGGTCGTTTGTTTAGAAACCGTCGATGTACTAATCGTTCCAGCAGTTGATGGCACAGTCGTTTCAGAAGTTACTGTCGTATTCACAGCTCCGGAAGTCGCGGAAGTCGTTTCCGTGGCTGGGCTGTTACGATAAACTGTTCTACCGTCTAATGGTTGCACTGGCCGGAAATTATGCGTTAAATTTGTTCCATCGATGGATTGAATACTGCGGAACGCAGCTATCTAAAAATGAATTAAGCACGTATAAACAATTTACAATCACGATAAAATTTATAAGAAATACAATTTTGACTTTGCATAATTGCAGAAATTAATGGTAAAAATAAAAACAAACTTAAGGCAAAAATAACTTCTTTGTACTTCTTTTTTTACTTCAACTTCTACATTTGAAAACCTATTAATTTTCTAACATGTTCAGCAGTTCCTCGAGGAAAAATAATTTTCTTTAACATTCAAACGAACTACTTTCTCCTGCAGAAGGCTAATAATAATCAAATTTGAATGGTCATGACGTCAAGAGGAAGCATTTGCAGAATACATTCGCACGGTTTTTCTTATTTACTGTTAGACGACGTTAACGTTTGACCAAATACCTTGAAAGCACCCTTTCGTCAGACGTGCTGAAAAAATTTACGTTAAACTCAATAACGTTCGGAATACCTGTTCATGGGAAAGATGTTGAGGCTGTATGAAATCGATCCATTGAACTATCTCGAGGCAAGGAGGTGTGGTCAATGATCCCTTATATGTAAAATAATGTTCCGCTGATGTAAGATCGGGCGCGACCAATTTGCTGAGAAGACCGGTATCGTTTATTGTTACATTACTGCCAACAGTGGCTATTTCCTGCATTTGCGAAACGATTGATTCGAAAGTTGGATTCGGCTTATCCGTGACCTGCAACATATACATATTTTTTCAATTGTTTCACCACTTGTATTATTCCAACGCAACAATAATTGATCGTGTTAACAAATCGAAAGAGCGTGTATTCGATCGAATGAAAAATCAGGCGTGATCGAAGGCAAAGGAATGTGTGTTTCAAAGCGTGTCTATTTTTAAGAAACGAGATCCACGAATATATATCCATTCCATGTTCATTTATTTTTTCGCGATACCGCTCACATTTCGAACTCTATCCAGGTTTTCCGAAACAATCTAAAATAGATCCATAATACACGCCAGAAGAGTGTTAAGGAATGATACATGTACATATATAGGCGTAGTTAGCGACGCATATGTGCGATTTACACAACTGATTTAACGTATCACTAACTGTGAAAGCAAACACACGTTTGCGTAAATTATAACAAAAAAAAAGGAAAATTCTTCTTCCAATATTTTTAGCCATTCTGAAATTTGCATATTAATAGATTCGATTAACACGTGTATTTACGCCACAATAATGTGTATTCTGTCAATATTTTACAGTTACCTGGTATAAATATCCAAGTACAGTGAGGCCATCAGGATGTTTCATTGCCTCCTCCGATGAACCGTATTCCTTCTTCCAAAAAACAGCGTGCACCTCCATGGAAAACGAATGATTATTGATAAGATCTTCAGATCCTAATTCGTCGTTTTGTCCCCAATGAAAATGCAATTGTTGAAAAACGTATGGGTCCTTGATGGGTCCTCCAGATATCATGGGCACGTTAGGATCGAAACTCTGGATCATCACTGAAACGACGAATCATATATAGATATCGATAGATTATATTAAAAAATAAAAAAATTGTTCCTAAAACGAAATATCCTATTTTCGATCATTTTTCTAAAACGCTCGATTCCTTGAAGGTATATCTTAATTGCAACGAGACATCGTCTATGACGTACAATAATCAACGTTAATTTGCAGCTGTTCAAGGATAAGAGTTACGTTTGAGAAACGCTCGAAACAATCGAAATGATCGATACTTGTACAACGGGTTCTAATCGGACTTTGAAATTCTCTACATTGCTAGAAAATGCAAAAGAAACGTTTTAAAAATTCTACGTTCTTCCTGCGGTTGTTGAAAAACAAAAAAAAAACTTGCACAGAATGTTTAATTACCCGGTTCGCATACTTCTACACGATGTTCACTATCTTTTTATTTAGTAGTGAGTCAACATGTTCCAATAAGATGGCGCGCGATGAAGCATCGAAATAATAGAATTTGTATTCTAATCGAATAGTGTAATATCTTTTACTTGAGCTAGCGGGTAGCATACGGGAATTATTGATTGTTAAACTGGCATTATATGTGCTCATAGGCTATCTATAGTGTGACAATGTTATTAATTGTATATCCATTTGAATCACGTTATACTTGATGTACATTTTCTCGATGATTATCTTGTTGTGAAACAATTATCAGAAGAAATCTTGTACTTTTTTTTTTAACATCGCTCTTTCATTATAATTTTTCACGTTTCTCTTGATAAAGTCTCCTTTCATTTGTCTTTTAGCAATCAGTTGAACAATGCGATAATTTTCTATTGGGAAATATTTTTCCTCTTTTTCCTTTGTCTTATAAGTAGTATGTATACACTCTGCATTTTAACAAACTAGGTGTGTAGTTACTGTGCATGTACTCGCCAATATTTTGACCTTGTTACTTCATACCTGTGTGGCCATTATTTATCATATAAGCCGCATGGGAATTCTCAATGCTAGAAAATTTCAGCGGCGGAAAGCTGGAAATTTTAACGCTGCTCTCCTCTATGTCGATGGGAGACTGGTATTTCCCCAAACACGTCTTGTAGTCGTTGCCCCAGTGCGACGGGCCTGAAGAGAATGATTCAAAAGTGTTTTCAATATGTCGAAGCACGAGTGAAAGTAAAATGAAATTTAGTGGAAATTTTATTAAATCCTTTATACTTTATAAGAAAAAATTAAAAAATGCAAAATTC